TTTCAAAGTTAACCAAATGTAATGTGTTCTAAAAAAAATTTTAATGAATATTCTTTAATTTCCATAATTTAAATATTCTCTCATCTACTTAGCAATCCTCATTGTCTTTCGTGTTTTCTTTTTTGCTTCATTTTTTAATTGTTAAATTAATTTTAGCCTATATATAAGATCTAAATTTCAAAGTTTAAATTTTATTTAATTTATTCTACTTTCTCATGTTTATCGTATTTTATCTTTAAATTTGAACATAATTTTTTTATTATCTTCATAACTCCCTCTCTCTTGAAGTTTATCTTCTATTTGAACTTAATTGTTGTAGATTCTCATATATTTCAACTTAATCTTTTCAAAGTTTATCTTCAAGTTAAACTTTATTTTATCTTTTAAAATCATCAATTAATTATCCATATAAATTTTAAATATAATAGAATTCCAAGTATAACTTTTGTCTAAATTTAATCTTTTCAATATAAAAACAAATGTCTTAAAAAGGAACCACAAAAATAAAATTGAAAAGCAAAAAAAATCACAATCAACATTGAGCCCTTTTCGACTCTTTTTCATGGTGCCTTGAAAATCTTACATTAAATTTCAAGTCACAAGTGAATTTTTTTTTTTCCCAATTGTATCTACTTTACATTTGAAATGTGTACTTATATGAGTTTTTGCGTTTGTGGGAAATGGAATTTATATTTTTCTTTAAATTATGTTTTTGTTTTTGTTTCTTTTTCTTTTTTCTTACAATCTGTATTTTTTTTATTTATTTCTTTTTTGGCTAATAATGTGTCATTTAATTGAGATTTCATTCTTTTTTGAAGTGCTACTATTATTAATTTGTGACTCTTTCACTTATTGACTATTTGTGTTTAATTGTTTTAGGTGCAGATGTTACATTGGAAGTGAAGAGAGCATCAAAATTTATTTGAATATGAGTTTATGTTTTAAATTTAATCATCAATTATTTTTTGTTATTGATTGTCATATTGAAATAACTTATGATTAAATTAATTTTCAAGAACACATTTCTTTTGAGACATAAACCAAATTTCTTTTTTTTTTAAATGTCTTTTTATGCAGATTCAAAACTTAAGCAAATTCAAGCATTCTCATATTTAAAATGTTAGGTTTTTTTAAATAATTTAAATCTTTCTATTCTTTATGTTTGTCGGTTCAACTTTAACGCATTTCTAAACCTATTTATGTTTAGTGAATCAATATAAAATTAAAGGCAAAAATAACAATAATAATAATAAATAGCATGTAATATTTTTTAACCAGTTATTGAATATAATGGAAATTAAAATTAATTTTATTTTAATTCATTATCTTATGTGTGATGATTAATATAATATCTCTTATTGATTGGAAAAAAAATGAAAAAATAGCATTCTTTTATTTAATATTAGTTATTTTGATTATTTATAATTTTAGTATGCTTTTTACTCCACTTTTGATTGTCTTAGCTATATCTTATTATCTATTTGTTATGTGATGATTTACATAATTTATGATGGTTTTTTAAAAAATTTCATGTTGTGAAGTATTAAAATTTTTGAATGATGTATGGTAAGGTTTATATACACAAATTAAATAAAAATATTTTATTCATATTAGAGAATGCAATTAAATAGATTTTTTTTTAAAAAAAAATTTAATATTATTCACTTTGTAAAATCCTGTGTATCATACGGGTGACTACTAATCTATACTATATATAACCAAATGTAGTTGTTTTATCAAAATTCTCTAAATATTTATTCCTAAATTCTCATAATTTTAAAACACTCTCTTTCCTACGTGGCAACTTTCTTTGATTGCCTTTCATGTTTTCTATTTTTCTTCATTTTTTATTTGTTTGATTAATTAAAATTAAAATTAATTTCATTACTTATGGATAAAGATTTGAATTTCAAAATTCCTCCATATAGATAAACATATAAAAACTGAAAATTAATTTTATAATCTACAGATAAAGATAAAAAATAAACAATTAATTTAAAAAAATTAATTTCATAACTTATAGATAATTTAAAATTTCTTCCCATAAATAAACAAATAAAAGTTGATAAATAACTTATAAAAATTAATTTCATGGCCCACAAATAAAGATAAAGATTAAATAAATTTATTTTTAAAAAAAAAACAAAATTAGTCTCTCTTTTTTTCCCCCCTTCAATTTTGGTAGTTGTTAATAATGTTCATTATAGATAACATATAAAAATTCATAAATAATTTATCGAAAATTTATTTCATTGACCTATAGATAAAGATAAAATTTTTAAAAAATTATTTAAAAATAATAATTTCAACTTATAGATAGAATAAACATAAAAAATTGACTAATAATTTATAAAGGATTAATTTCGTGGCCTACAGATAAAGATAAAATTAAATAATTGATTTTCAAAAAAATTAAAAATAATAATTTAGATAAAATAGTTGGTTTGTTAATCTATATATATCTATCAAAACATATATACTAAATCTTGTCATTTTGATTTATCATTTTTTTTTTCATACCTACACATATTATCATTTTTTTTTATTTTAAATTTTTTATCTTATTGAAAGCTTTATCTATAACTTCTATTATCCTATTAAATTCTTAACCTTCTCTTGACAATTTTATTATTCGTTATTAATCTACCAAATGATAAGAGCATTATTAAAAAAAATTATCGCTTGGAAGGAGAATAGTATTAATAATGAAATAATTAAGGCTACATGGGAGAAGGTATGCACAAAAAATCTCACATAAATTATATTTTCTTCACTAATATTTATAAGAATAATTTGAGATTTTCTATAGTTTCTAAAAATAATTTGCATTAGGATTGTTATGTTTTTTTTTAATTTTTTATATAGGCTGTCATTCGTTATAGTATTTCTCTCTCATCTCTAAATCTCTCTTTGAAATTTTGTTTTTTCAATAATTAAGTTTAGAATCAATTTCTTACCAAATTTGTTTTCTGATCCTTTTTTATTAAAGGATCGAGACGAATAAAACTTTCATATCATAATTGAAATTAATGAATATAAACAAATAGATAGGGAATACTACATATTTTCAATATCTCTATATTATTAATTAGTGATTTGCTAGATTATACTATCATTTTAGAGCCCATATGATTTAATTCAATGTTCATTGACTCTATTTGTAATTGACCATTTTTTCGTTGAGTAACTGATATGATTTTTTTTTGGTACATAATGATTAAAGCTATCATTTGTTATATTTTTTCAAAATACAATTCAAAAAAATTTTTTTATAATAATTAAATGGATTTAAACTATTTCTTATAATAATTTTTATAATACTATGACATTCTTATCTTGATTAATTTTTTTTAAATGACGTAGAAACTATGCAAGTATTATTCAAACTATGGAGAATAATTTATACTTTGATATGATATGGGTGTGTCATTGATAGAGGAAATCAAAGATACAGAGTTGCTAATATAATCAATTAATGATTTGTTTGAGAAGTTCTTTTTATAAGCAAGGCAACAAACTTAGATTAAATTTTTTTAAAAACTACTTATAAATTATAATTAAAAGTTGATATTTATTCATAATTTGATCCCACAATGATAATATACACCACTGATTTAAAAGTCCAAGTAAATTTATATATATAGTATAGATGTTATTAAGTGATTGTGATACTATTATTCTCAACAATTTTTATAATTAATAATTTCTTATGCATATCAAATTTTATTGTAAAATTTTGTGCGCTAATTATTGTTAACATCTACCTAGATGGCTTAATATTATGGCTTGTCACTATTAAGATATAATTTAAGATTAAGATGATTTATTTATCACACAAAATATATATATTCTATTTTTCCGTGCATCGCACGAGTTATCGCTAGTTTCAAAAGATACCAGCGTAATTTATCCATAATTTAATTTTTAAAATTATACTAAAAACACATAAATCAAACATAAAAACATAAATGTCACACGACTTTATCACAGTTGGTGTTTGACTTAAACTTGTTGTGAATTTAAATACACAGTTTGTGTTTGACATAAACTTATGTGAATTTAAATAGTACAATTTTAAAATGAAATCAAAATAGTCTAATGCTTAGGCCTCGTTTGAAAACTTTTTATTTTAGTCAAAAGGTCAAAAAATTATTAAATTAGTCAAAAAGTCAACAATTCATACCAAAAAGTCAAAGATTCTCTTTTCTCTCTACTTTTTGCACATCTTTTCATAAAAAATCAAAAAATCATCCCAAACATATTAATTTTTTTTAATTCATAATTTAGCCAAATAATTAAAAAGTTATTAAATTAACCTGTTCGGGGCTAGTTGGTAGTAGGGGTGTTCGCGGATCGGTTTTGTTCGGTTTTGACCCACCCGCATCTATGCGGTTTGGGAAAAAGTCAACCCGCAACCGCCCGCAGTGCGGTTTGCGGTTTGTGCAGATAGGGTTCGCAAATGTGCGGGCGGTTTGCGGTTTACACTTTTTTTCTTTAAAAATTAATTTTTGAATTTTTTTTTCCCAGCGAATTTAGGCATCAAATTCATTTTATATATTTGTGATAACAATTTTTTGATGAGTTTACAAATAAAAGTTGAATATCAATGCATTAAATGAAAGTACCCAAAACAAAGAGACCCTACACTAGTATTTTTGCCATAAAAAAAATGTATATCAATGCATTAAAGGTTGTACTCAATTAGAATTGTCAGTGCAGTAATCAATAATCAAACTATAAGTTCCATCGACCATTGGAAGGAAAATTTTATTAGGAAAAAGTGGATGAATCACCAATGAAAATCATATAAGAAACCAAGTTTAGGACTTGATAATTCTACGACATTAAGAAAGTTGAGAAATACTTAAAAATAAGGATCCTATAGTGTCATAGATAATATAATGGTGCTCCTGTAAAAGTTACAAAGTTGGTATATAAAAAGTAAAAATAATAATAATAATAATAATTAAAGTGCGGGCGGTATTTGCGGGTTGCGGGTTTTAACCGCGACCCGCCCGCAACCCGTAATTTTGTCATATTTCAAACCGCATCCGCCTGCATTATGTTTGCGAAACCGCCCATTTATATGCTGATTGGACGGATTGAACCGTTTGAGCGGTTCGGATAAACCGTTTTCCATCCCTAATTGATAGTGAAGTTGAAGTTAGCACACGTGGTACCGTGAAGCAAGACTGAAGAAGTAAATCCTAGTCTCTTCGAGCCCACATCAACCTCTAGAAGATTATCCTCCATCTGAAACCCTCCGATCACGATCGACGTCCTCGGGTTGGCCCCACCATCCACAAACCCCAAACACCACACATCCGCATCCTTCTTCTTAATCCTCACCATCGAATTCGCACCAAAGATCCTCCAGAACACATCATCGCTCTGCATCACCAGATCAACGGTCGGCACAGCCGGTCCCACACGCGTACTCAGCACATCCGCTGCTCCGTAACACACACTGAATGGCTTCACAGGTTTCGTTACCGTGAGGTTGAGCCCAGCGGATTCCTTCACAAACGCCTCATTAAAAGCCTTGTAAATCGACGTCTGGAGAACCGTGTAAGGAGCGACGGTGCTGATCTTGGTCCCACCAAAACCATTCTCATCAATGGCCAGCAATGTCTTATTGATCTGAACCTCCTTTCCGTTGACTTTTATAGCGTTGACTCCAATAAAATACTCATCAGACGGGTGTAGGTAGGTTATTATGGTGTCCCCTACCGGGTTCAAAACGAGCGCAGTATAAATAAGAAACCTCGCAAGGTCAATTTTGGGAAGAAAATGGTAGGGCCCACCGGCGTTAAAAAGCGCGACTCCCGAAGCCGAGCGAGAGCCGGAGAGGCAGAGCGCAAACAAGAATGGCGAAGAGAGGGCGGTGCTAACCTGCGCAGGGAGCGAGATGTTGGAGCGGCCTAGACCGGCCAGGCCGGTGACCCCCTTGGCGAGACCCTTGAGGAGAGAGGTTTTGGAGCAGGAGAAGACGAAGTCGGGGATTCGGGCGAGTCGACCCGGATCGGTGGTGGTGGGCAAGGCGAGCGAGTCAACCAGTGCCTCTGCGATGATGGACTGGCGAGTGACGGAGTTTTCGGGGAACATGGCGCATGAGTTGTTGGCGCAGCCAGGAGAGGGGGGTTGGAAGCAGTTGGAGCAGGCGAGGGAGTGGAGGGAGTCGCAGAGGGGGGTCGAGCAGGGGATGGAGTGGTAGGTGGAGGAGGTGTAGTTGAGGGTGCAGTCGACCCAGGTGAAGGAGGCGCCGAGGTCGAGGAGGAGTTTGGTGGGTTGGAGAGGGGTTTTGAGGTAGATTGAGAGTGTGTATAGACGGGTTGTGTGGTCTTTGGTGATGGGAGAGAGGAGAGCTGCGAATGTTGAAGAAGGAATGAAGAGGGAGAAGAAGAGGAGGATGAGTGGAAGAGACGACATTATTGTAGGTTTGAATTTGAAGTACTCCACTGAGAATGGCATTGAGGTTGGGTTTTATGCACAAGTGTTGAGGCTTTGTCAACTCGACCGTGGAGGGCGGAGGTGAATTATTCAATATTTTATATAATAATAACACAGGCATGCATTCTGTATCGATATATGAGTATCGAGTGAAATATCTAATAGTTTTTTTAAATCCTAACATTGTTTATTAACGAGAGAGAGAGTGTCTGTGCGTGGGGTTGGAGTGAAGGAATTGAGTTGACTCGGCTGGGCTGGGGGAGTGAAGTTCAAGATAGGCTTTTATTGAAGTTGGATCCGTAGTTTTAATAGTCTGCGTCCACTTTTGACGCGTAGGATATGCAATAGCTAGCAAGCAAGCATTCATGGACTGAGGATATTTTATTTTATTTTATTTTTTTATGTAAGAAAAATAGAAGAGGAAACAAAAAAAACTAACCAATGGCCAAACAGGCAACCAATTCAGGGGAGGGTTGCACTCTCAATCTTAAAGCGGCAATCCTTTTTGCATGGCTTCAGCAATCTAATGGGCTACCTTGTTGGCCCCTCCACTACTCTAAGAACAACTCTAATCACATTCTCTATTTTTTATTAGTTAAAGTATAGAAATTATGTACAAAAAAAATACACTCTTTATTTTACCTAATTACTTTAGCTATTGTGTTCTCCAACCACGCTCTTTATTTTAGCTAATCATTTAAACAAACTCAATTAATTTTTAAAATAAAAAATACTAATTGTTGATATTTTACTAATATAAATTTGCAATAATAATAAATTTACCCATACAAACATACAAAACTTGTAGAATGAGGAGAAAAAAAATACAAAATACAAAATAAGTTATTCCGTAATTCATCAAACAAAATTGAAAAAACATATAAAATTGCTACATACTGTTAGCACCATAAATCTGCAATTTTTATTATTATTTATTATTTATATAATTGCAGGACACGTGGCATCCTCTTATTCATTTGGAAGTTAAAAGAAGTTATAGAGATAATGGAGAATATGAAGGACAAAGTGGATGAGTGGGAGGACAAAGTGGATGGGTGGAAGGACACATGGCAAGACAAGAATGAAGATGGAAGAAATGGGTAGTTACTAAGTAGTTATTGCTGTATTTTTTCTTCTATAAATAACCATTAATAGCTACATTGTAAAGGGATCCAGAACTATAATCAAAGACAATTGATTTCATTATTTCTTGTCATTTTCCTTATCTTAGGAGTAGTTTAACATAGATTTATATTTCAAAGCATTTATTTTCAGCATTTCCATTTCGATGCATTTTATGCACTTTCTTTTCGAAGCATAGGAGTAGAGGTAAGTATTTATTACTTTGATTGTTCACTCAATCGTCCTTCTTCGTCCCTCTTTCTTCTTTTATTTTTTCTTTTCGCTACACTTGGCAAATTTGAAGTCCTCTTCGTTGAGGCAAAAGAACTGTCAACACAATCGCTTGATAATTTACTTGAATTTAATCTGTAAGGATTTTTCAATCCTTGCTGGCACGCTCGCATTTATGATATTTTCCTTCGTAGGAAAAATAAGCCAACATTTTTTGGCACACCCAGTGGGACAGCTAAGTGTAAGAAATGACAAACGATTTGGATTTCGCCATTCGAACTTGTCAATATGAAATATATTGGCGTGAAAGAGAAATTTTGGATCTTCAAGAAGAGATCCATTTTCTTGATGAAATAAACTTTCATCCATTACAATATTATTTGGTGGAAGAAAAAAGACACCATTTAATTGGAGAAATTCATCAACTTGATATGGAAATTCGCCAATGGAATGATGAGTTATCAACTCTCACTACCAAGTCTTTAACTGAGGCCTTAATGGCCGGAATTGGTGAATTTTTTCAGAATTTTTCCATGGTTAAAAATAGCAAAAGCAAAGAATTGATTTCATCAATGGCTCGGGGGGTTCAAGAATCCGTTTTTAAAGAGCCAAATTATGAAATTAACACAACGAAAGAGCATGTTCTTGAACCAAATTTGGCTAAGAATGATGTTCCATGTATGACTCGGGGGGTCCAAAAACCAAATTTTAGAGAGTCAAGTCATGAAAACAATATATCTATGGGTGATTTTCAGAAGCCATTAATGGCTAACATGAAAAAACAACCCACTTTGCCAAATAATTATGAAAACCTATTCGGCAAAAGTCATGTTTTTAAAACAAACATGGTCAAGAACAATGAACAAGCCACTGTTCATGAATTCAAAATTTTTGACATTTTTCAAAATATCAAAAAGTATGAATTTTCATAGTCACACACTATACCATGACTTTTGGAGTTCAAAATCCTTTTTGGATTTGTGGTTCACATCAAAATATAATTATGATGATGTGGCTAATAAAATTAACAAATTGTATATATGATCAGATCTATTATAAATATTACTTAAACGGATTTTACTATATATGCAAATATTTGATTAGAATATTATATAGAATGCATATAATATAAATAGAATACATCATGTGAGCAATTAAATTTTTTTACACTACATTGATTATATCATATCACACTACACTTCATTGATTATATCACATTATAATAAAACAAGAAGAAAAAGATGGAGTTGTATATATATATATATATTATAATAAAACAAGATGGAGCAAATCATTTGCGTGTTTGAAAGTTGTGAACTTTGTATTAAAGTGTCTACAAAAACGGTGGCTTCATATTTGAAAAAACAAAAAAAAAAAAGAAAAAATTAGTCTTACTTTTATCTTTTTAATTATTAACATTTGTTGACTATTTAAAATCAAGGAGCGTGCTTATGTAAGTCATAACGTCAGCAATGAGCGTCATTGTTCCAACGAGTATATTTTTGAGTATAAATAAAAGTGTTGTGTGCGGAGAAAAATCAAAAACTTAAAGAGAAAAATTTCTGTGTACTCCAAAAATTTTGAGTATATTGTATTCTGCTCTTTCACTTTCAGATCTAAGTGTAACCTTTGTTGTTACACTTTCATATTTACTCTTTGTGAGAGAATTATTATAAAAGAAGGTTTAAGTACCACTTATTTTTATTCATTATTGTGAGAGATTTTTGTAAGGGTGAGGCATTTATTATTGAGTGAGGCTCAATAGATAAGTCTTGTGTAAAATTCACAAGCTTGGTGAAGATTTGGTGGTGTATTAATTTATTTTGATAGTAAATAAATTCTCAAGGAGGTTCCTTGGGGAGTGGACGTAGGCCTGGCGTACCGAACCACTATAAATCTTAGTGCTTGATTTTCTCTCCCTATTTCTCTTATTTTTCATATTGATAATTATTATTCTATTGTTTTCTTTATTTGTATTCTGAATATTGTGTTTATAAATTTTAATATTGTAAATTTTTTTAAATAACTCAATTCACCCCCTCTTAGGTTGCCTACCTGGGATAACACACTCAATCATCTTTCTTAGTTTCCCTCATTCTTCTTTTATTTTTTTTTCTCTACAATTGGCAATTTTGAAGTCCTCTTCATTAAGGCAAAAGAACCGTCAACACAATTGCTTGATAATTGGCTTGAATTTAATCTGTAAGGATTTTTCAATCCTTGCTGGCACGCTCGCATTTATGATATTTTCCTTCGTAGGAAAAATAAGCCAACACATACACACACAGATATATATATATATATATATATAAAATCCCAAATCCAAGACATAAATATACAAAAATCTAAAATATCTACATACATAATTGTTTGGAGAGCCTATAGGGCTCTTTAATTGTAGCCACCAAAAAAATAGGATGGTAAAGTAGCTAGCCCATTGGAGCTCAATATTAGACTTACATTGGTTAAAATGCCTAACAAGCCTTGTTTAACTATCCCCTTGGAGATGCTCTAAGAAAAGAAAATAAGCCCTTCACATGCTAAATTTCTGAAGTCTTTGATGATAATAGTAGACTGTCATGGTGGGTCAGTCTCAGAAACGTACAAGAAAATGATAGTAGGGTTATAAATCGGTCAAATCCAGTTTTACTGAGTTTAAACTCGAGTCATTTACTTATTGAGTTCGTTTATTGTGTTTGAGATCGACTCGATAAAAAACTAGGCTCGAGTTTGGCTTAACTAGTTAATATAAATGAAACTTGAACTCGAGCTCGACTCGTTTACTAAACAAGTTGAGCCCTTAACGTGACAAGTTAGCTCGTAAATTATTCAATTAATTTGTAGTTCTAAATGATAGTTTTGTTATCTTCCCATAGAGAGAACAACTTGAAATGAAATTGTATAACCCTTTTTTTTTTTCTTTTTCTTTTTTTGTTGGTGTATAAGCTTTGTTAAAAATGAAAATACAATAAAATTGACACCAGGGTTAGATGAAAAACAAATTAATTAAGGAAAGGTCACTACAACAAAATGCACATTTGGCGATCAAAATTGGCGACTAAAAAAATTTAGTCACCAAAAGTTGTGTAATTGGCGACCAAAAATTTTTTTAGTCGGCAAAAGTATAATATTTAGCTACTATTTTTTTTTAGTCGGGGTATATTGATTATTGTTGACTAAAAAAAATTTAGTTGCTAAAAATACTAGAATTGGCGACAAAAAATATTTCAGTCGCCGTACATTGAGTTTTGGCTACTAAAACCATTTAGTCGCCGAATGGAAAATAAAAAAATTATTTTTTATCAAAAACATATGCTCAGCGACAAAAAAATATTTTAATCACCATATATTGAGTTTTGGCGACTAAACATTTAGTCGCTAAATGACAAGTAAATTTTTTTTTTTCTTTTAATCTTTGGTAACCTATCTTCGGCGACTAAAATTTAGTCGACAAATGTGTTCAAAATTTTAGTGGGAAATATTTCATATTGGCGCCTAAATTTTTTCCCAAATCTATCAGTCTTCACACGGTTCTTTCTCTCTCTCTCTCTCTCTCTCTCTTTCTCTCTCTCTCTCACACACACACACAGAGAATCATTCACCACCGCCCTTCATCTCAGCATCACACACGACCACACCGTCAATCTTCCACCGTCGAACATCGCCACCGCAGCTCACCATTGCCTCACCTCCCATCAACATTCAAGTTATTCTCCGTCCTTTTCCGATTGAAGTTTTTGACTGATTTCGATACATGTAAATATAGTTATGTATATATATATATCGTAATCTTCATTCAATTTTCTGTAGATTTTTTCGACACTGTGCTTGCTTTCTTTACCGATTGAAGTTTTTGACTAATTTTGACTCATATAGTTAT